CCTTTTCTACTAATTAGAAACATTCTATAATGTTTTCCTACTAATTAGAAACATTCTATAATGTTTTCATACTAATTAGAAACATTCTATAATGTTTTCATACTAATTAGAAACATTCTATAATGTTTTCCTGCTAATTAGAAACATTCTATAACGTTTTCTTACTGCTTAGAAACATTCTATAATGTTTTCCTACTAATTAGAAACATTCTATAATGTTTTCTTACTACTTAGAAACATTCTATAATGTTTTCCTACTAATTAGAAACATTCTATAATGTTTTCCTACTAATTAGAAACATTCTATGATGTTTCTTACTAATTAGAAACATTCTATAATGTTTTCCTACTAATTAGAAACATTCTATAATGTTTTCCTACTAATTAGAAACATTCTATAATGTTTTCTTACTAATTAGAAACATTCTATAATGTTTTCCTTCTAATTAGAAACATTCTATGATGTTTCTACTAATTAGAAACATTCTATAATGTTTTTTTACTACTTAGAAACATTCTATGTGAACAAATGGGTCTCAGGACTATGGTATCAGTGACCATTACCTTTCAAATGGTGTTCATGTATTACACAGGGAAACAGGTGTCATTGAAAAACTTTGTGTGTTATTTTAACAATTCAAAGTCAGTTTAGTATGAAGTTTTTATGCACTGGTCAAGGACCCAAATTAATGCAAAAAAAATGCTTCTCAACTATTTTAAATTTTTTCATGGATCATTATGTGACATTGAGAAATGCAAAAGTTTGCTGCAGATTCTGCTGTTTTTACAAAGGTGTTGCTTTTGTAGAGTAAGTTCCTGCAAGATAAAAATAAGATGTACCATGAAGAAGTAAAAAATTTATCTATGACCAAAAAACTTGTTTCTTAATACACAAAAAATATGTCACTTTGTTCATCTAAAAGTGCATTTGCATGATATCTAAAAGTTTGCCAAAATGTTTTTGATTTCAATAGCCTTTGTAGAGGAAGCTGTAACCGTTTTGCACTGTTTGGTGTCTTATTTTTTGTTCTGGTCAATTTGAAAAGCTTTCTATTGAAACTTGCATTTGGACTGTTTGCCCCAGTAATCTATGTTTTAAGATAATTCTAATGATATCAAGTCCCATTATTCGACATAGGCACTTAAATCCAACATGACAGATATTGTATCAATTTTTAACCTAAGATTGTGAAAATACCTTCAACTGAAATTCACATGCCCATTTGTGTAATATTAATTTGCACCCTGTTTGAGGACATTAAACCACATTTGAATTCATTCAACCACTTTTGTATACATTCAACCACATTTGAAAACATTCATCTACATTTGAATACATTCATTTACTTTTGTGTACATTCAACCACATTTGGAAACATTCATCTACATTTGAATACATTCATCTACTTTTTGTACATTAAACCACATTTGAATACATTCATGTACATTTGAATACATTCATCTACTTTTGTGTACATTCAACCACATTTGAATACATTCATGTACATTTGAATACATTCATCTACTTTTGTGTACATTCAACCACATTTGAATACATTCATCTACATTTGAATACATTCATCTACTTTTGTGTACATTCAAACACATTTGAATACATTCATCTACATTTAACTGTATTGAACTACATTTGACCGGCAATGAGTGCTTTGACATCAACATGTGTATTAATGACATCTTCCATAATGTTATTGATATATATTCCTAATTTCATCCCTCTAAAAGCACATTCAGTCTTTCTTCTATAACATTTATGCATGTTTTTGCAGCAAAGTTATGGCTTTATTGAGTGTGCTGAACAGGATCTTCGAGTGTTCTTTCATTACAGTCAGTACAAAGGACATTCAAGTGAACTGGAACTTGGTGGTTTGTAAATTTTGCTTATTTTCACCCTTCAACGACTCTTATATTACTTGTTATGTGTGCAACTACACCATTAGTATTATATTGTTTTTCTGAAACGTTGATATAATTTCATTCAAGTATGAGGCTTGTTGCCTTTCTGCTATTTAATAAGGGGAACAAGCTGTTTTGTGAGCTTATCCAGTTATTCAGAGCATTTGTTTCATCAGTCATTATTTGAAAAGCATTCTTTGTCAAGTAATTCATTGGGTTTCTCATATGACTTTTCACTCCTACCATAATCAGTGGTGACACTTTATGACATATTGGGAGAGGAAGCTCATCCTCAAGGCATGAGATTTCTATGGAGATTCCAGGGCATGCCTTTGTTGGTATACTTTTAAAATTTGATCTCCACCATCTGAATCCCACCACAGTTCATGTTATCAACACGTGGCATTCACGTGCCTTCACGATGTTGTATGAGGGTGTTCTTTGCTATTCTAACTTGCACTGCTCTGTCTTTTTAATGTGAATGTGATGGGTATTCTGAAGGACTCTGTCTGCAAAAAATGTGTGTCCAAATGTTAGTGTTAGTTAAAACAACTTTTCAAACTCATGTATAGTCTTTGTTTTATTGTGGGGTAAAACGAAACAGAACTTTTGTTTATTTACCTAGTCAGAACAAACCACTGATCATTGACTTGTTGGGGAGTTTCACACTGTAATCCTTCACCATCTGCCCCCCCACCGCCTATCCCTTTGTCTCTACTGCTATTGCAAAGGCCACTGCTCTGGTCTATTATCTGAAGTGTAAAGAACATTTCGATTGATATTGATAGTCGATTAAATCTTTTTTTGTTTAGACTGTGTGGAGTTTGAAGTGACATCAGATTCTCGTAAGGGTAAACCAATTGCATGTCGAGTGGTGAAATTGGAACAAGGCTCTGTTTACATTTGAAGTAAGTGACCTTGACACCTTGTGTACTTTTTGACGCTTGCCGTGTATGCACGTTCATCCTGGTTTGGTTTACAAAGTTTTACGAGAAATTGAGAAATCGTCTCTTGGTGAATCATCCATTTATGTTTCCTTTGTAGGAAAAAAGCGAGGAAAGAGTTGTTGGTAAAGTGGAAGTTGAGGCGAGGTTGTCGAGACACAGCTACCCCAAACAGGTGATTTTCATCGTGATCAATTAGCTGGGAAAATGTAATAGTCAGTGGCGAAGCAAACGCGTTAATTAAGGGATGGGGAGGGGTGGGTAGATAACAAATTCATCTATGCACATCTTTATGCATGGAACACAATGGAACTCAATACGGCAGGACATGCATATGTGGAATATATGGATGTGTGCTCACCCTCCCCCAGTTATCGTGCTTGCTACACCACCGTTCATTATGCATATTGCTTTAAAATTACTCGTTGTTAATGGTCGTGTATGAATTTTTTGGTCGTGTCGTTGTTATTGTATAATATGTTTGATGTCAGGGTTGTTTAAAATCATTGCATAATAAACGTCTTCAAGGATCAGGAGTGGAGTTTAAGTTCATTGCATAATACAGGTTTGCTCTGTCAATGGGGGTGTTTTAAAATCATTGCATTGATAAACGTCTTCATGATCATGGAGTGGAGTTTAAGTTCATTGCAATACAGGTCTGCACTGTCAGGGTGGACTTTAAAATGAATGTATAACACAGGTTTGCAATGGTCAGGGTTGGTGTTTAAATCATTGTACAATACAGGTTTGCACGGTCAGGGTGGTGTTTGTGTTCATTGCATAATACAGGTTTGCACGGTCAGGCTGCTTAAAAATCATTGCATAATACAGGTTTGCAATGGTCAGGGTTGATGAAAATCATTTACAATACACGTTTGCACGGTCAGGGTTGATGTTTAAAATCATTGCATAATACAGAACCAACAAAGGCTGATGTTTAAAATCATTGCATAATACAGGTTTGCACGGTCAGGGTGATGTTTAAAATCATTGCATAACAGGTTTGCACGTCAGTTGAGTTTAAAATCATTGCATATACAGGTTTGCACTGTCAGGGGTGGAGTTTAAAATCATTGCATAATACAGGTTTGCACGGTCAGGGGTGAGTTTAAAATCATTGCATAATACAGGTTTGCAATGTCGGGGTTGAGTTTAAAATCATTGCATAATACAGGTTTGCAACGGTCAGGGGTGGTGTTTAAAATCATTGCATAATACAGTTTGCATGGTCAGGGTGATGTTTAAAATCATTGCATATACAGGTCTTCATGGTCAGGGGTGGAGTTTAAAATCATTGCATAATACAGGTTTGCATGGTCAGGGGTGGTGTTTAAAATCATTGCATAATACAGGTTTGCACGGTCAGGGTTGGTGTTTAAAATCATTGCATAATACAGGTTTGCAATGGTCAGGGATGGTGTTTAAAATCATGCATAATACAGTTTTGCACGGTCAGGGGCTGGTGTTTAAAATCATTGCATAATACAGGTTTGCACGGTCAGGGGTTGGTGTTTAAAATCATTGCATAATACAGGTTTGCACGGTCAGGGGTTGATGTTTAAAATCATTGCATAATACAGGTCTGCACGGTCGGGGGGTGTTTAAAATCATTGCATAATAAACGTTTGCATGATCAGGGGGTGGAGTTTAAGTTCATTGCATAATACAGGTTTTCACGGTCAGGGGGGTGTTTAAAATCATTGCATTATACAGGTCTGCACAGTCAGGGGGTGGAGTTTAAGATCATTGCATAATACAGGTTTGCACGGTCAGGGTGGTGTTTAAAATCATTGCATAGTAAACGTCTTCATGATCAGAGGGTGGAGTTTAAGATCATTGCATAATACAGGTCTGCACGGTTAGGGGGTGGATCTTTATGATTCTAACCGTTGCTCCTTTTCTTTCAGGAATTGCTTTTTCTTCCACATTATCAAGCTGATGTTTTATCAAAGTCTCACATCTACAAAGGTGATACTGTGTCTTTTTACATCCTGGAAAACAAAAGGTAAATTATATTCTTTGCTATAGCGTCGAAAACTTGTACTGTTTCTCTAGATTGTATCACTTGCTTCATCACGTGCATTACATTACGTGGTTAAGCAATGAATGCGCAGTCTTAAGAATGTTCTTTCTATTTTGGTGAAGTCTTTCTCCTTATTTCTACGTTTTGATATGCTACCTTACACAAGAAAACGCTTTGGTTAACGCTTATAACATGAACGTTAGTTTATTATTTACACGAACCATGTCCAATTTACGAGCCATGTCCAAATTGTTGTTTGTTTGATGCACTGCTACAGTTCATAAACCTCTATAGAAATGGACAATGCTGTGCCGTGGAGTTGTTGCTGCTCGAAGCTTCGCCTCCTGTTTACGTTCAAGGAATTGTCTGCTCGCTCAAGGAATCGTTTGGTTTCATCGACAGAGCTGACAAAGTGAACGAGGTTTGTGTTTGGGCCGTTGCAGTTGCTCCCTGTAGATCAATATTGATAATTTATTGTTTAATACAAAATGAGTTTTATCAGTTATTTCACTTATGTATACGATTTGATCATTTGTAATTTATTTTACACACGATGACTTCTGATTGGCATTTGACGTAGGATTGAAAATTTTCGGTCTGCAAACGAGTCACGTGACTCAACTGACGTATTTTAGTGATAGCTGACGACAGCAACAAGTTTATTTTTGGAAATTCGTAAAATTTGTTTGTAAAACTTGGCCAATTATTTTGTCAGGTAAAGAAGTTGCAGTCTCAGTGGAGCGTCTACCAGAAGGTACAGTGAAATTTGATGATGTGAGCAAAGACACATTTCAAGGCACCATCGAGAAAGTACATTGTCGGACAAAAAGACAGGAACCGTTAAATGGTGTGATATTGTACAACACAAGCAATGGTAGTTCACAGCTGCCATATTGGGAGAAAGATGTCTTGGGGGAGTTCACCGTCTTGACTTGGGATGTTGTTGGTTTTAAAATTGCTACAGGTAAATATGGTTTGTTGTAACTGTTGGTATTATTTCAACATGTGCAAGATCAATGAGAGATGATTTTGTTGATCTAGGCAAAGAACAGTTTAAGACTGATCGAGATATCTAGTATATATAGATTAAGTTACGATCGATAAACCAGGCGGGAATCGTACACAAAATATAAATATTAAATTACTAAGTTAGTTTAGTTTAGGTTTCCTTCTGTAGTAACACTGGATCAATAAGAGCTTATCTTTACTGGATCTTTAGGAAGAAGAGTTTAGAACTGGTAGAGATATCTAACATAAATAAACTTGGTTTAGTTCAGGTTTGTTTCTGTGGTAACACTGGATCAACAAGATATGATCTTAACAGGATCATAAGAAAGAAATGTTTAGGACTGATAGAGATATTTAGTAAAAATAAAGTTAATTTAGTTTAGGTTTCCTTTAGTAGTAACACTGGATCAATAAGATATGATCTTTACTGGATCATTAGAAAGAAAAGTTTAGAACTGATAGAGATATTTAGTCTAAAGAAAGTTAGTTTAGTTTAGGTCTCTTTCTGTAGTAACACTGGATCAATAAGAGATGATCTTTACAGTAAGAACTGTTCAGAACTGATAGAGATATCTAGTATAAATAAAGTTAGATCAGTTTAAGTTTCCTTCTGAAATATTAGCCTAATTGGTTGTTAAAATCTAGGCTCTTATATGCGAAGTTTTACTTTACTCCCTACTTCAGCCTCATATCTAATCTTAGTTAAAATAACTTTGTTACTGTATCAATGGGTGCTCCATCGACAATTCTTTAAAACTTCAACTAGTCTTCCTTTGCTTAGACATTACCATGTTTAGACGTAACATTTTGTTTTAAACTAGTTCGTTGTCCTCCTTATTGTTGATTGAATGTTTTGGTGTCTTGTTTAACGTGCATGTCTGAACATTTGAAGAAAATACCAAACGTGTATGTACCTTACAGAATAACCAAGCTTTCAAACTATAGTTTTCCTTTGAGTGTTTCCAGTTGGATATGGCAACATGTCCATACAATGAAAGAAATTAACAAATTTTCCCCGTGATATCGGGAATATAAAGCACGCTTCCATCTTTTAGCCACTCAGTCAAGCGATACATCTCTCTTCTTTTCGTGCAGATCGGCGTGATTCTTTAAGAAGAGCAACGGAAATTCATCTCATCAAGGAAGTGGAAAGCAGCAATGGATGCAATGTCAGAGAAAGAGTAAGTTTTAATTCTCCTTTACATTTGCTAGTGTTTAGACTGCGTCATGAGGAAGCCATTTCTCCAAATTTAGCGGGAAATTGTTTACCTTTATCACTGTGATGGCAAATGTTAATTGCTTTGAGTTATAGTTTGACCTTTACCCTTCCTCGTCTATGAGTATTTTATCCACCCACCCCGTCAAAAATTTACTCCTCCTCAAGTTGTACCTCCCTAAAAAGGTATACTTGCTCTCGAAGCATTCAAATTTTCACAATGTATCGTTGAAAATAAAGGTTTGTCCAAAGTATTTTACTGTCTTCAATCTCTCGTATTTTGTTGGGAAGTCTTTTATTTTCGACAACGCTAACATTGTGCTCCATGGGCATTGGCATTGAGCATTTTTATTTTATGAATGTCGATGTATAACTATAGTGCACAGAATCGACTTAAACTCGTTTCCTTCTTAAAGATCTATGTAAAAATTATTGTTGGTGTAATGTGATTAAATGCATGATTTTTTGTTCCTTGTTAGGGGTTTGTTTCGGCTTTGAAAGACGGCTATGGCTTCATTCAGTGTTGTGATAGGGATACATTAAATGCATAATTTTTTGTTCCTTGTTAGGGGTTTGTTTGTTTTGGCTTTGAAAGACGGCTATGGCTTCATTCAGTGTTGTGATAGGGATACATTAAATGCATAATTTTTGTTCCTTGTTAGGGTTTGTTTGTTTCGGCTTTGAAAGACGGCTATGGCTTCATTCAGTGTTGTGATAGGGATACATTAAATGCATGATTTTTGTTTTGTTAGGGGTTTGTTTCGGCTTTGAAAGACGGCTATGGCTTCATTCAGTGTTGTGATAGGGATACATTAAATGCATGATTTTTGTTTCTTGTTAGGGTTTGTTTCGGCTTTGAAAGACGGCTATGGCTTCATTCAGTGTTGTGATAGGGATGCATTAAATGCATAATTTTTTGTTCCTTGTTAGGGGTTTTTTTCGGCTTTGAAAGACGGCTATGGCTTCATTCAGTGTTGTGGTAGAGATACATTAAATGCATAATTATTTTTTCCTTGTTAGGGATTTGTTTCGGCTTTGAAAGACGGCTATAGCTTTCTTCAATGTTGCGATAGGGATACAAGATTATTCTTTCATTTCAGCGAGTTGATTGATGCGGTGAGTTTTGTTATTATGGCAATCGTAAGCAAAAAACCTTTCAAATCAACATCTTCTAACCACGTTAGAAAAGCGTTTGCTACATAAAGCTCGATATGTGCCAGTGAAAGTATGTCAAGATAAATCGATGGAGAAAGTAGCTTTGCTGATGTTAGTTTAAAGTATCGTTAAATGTTTGTAGATGAATATCGTCCAGGCTTGGTGAAGTTCTGAGAAGGACTGTTGGTGTTGTTGACTGTCAGCCGTATAACCAGAGTATTGACAACCTTCGCTGTAGGCTTCACTCTTAAGATGACTACCGCTTAGGTTGTCGAAACGTCAGTCAACATCAACAACAACAATCCTTCTCAAGATTTCCATAACGTGGACGATCTACATCTACACACATGCAAAGGTACTCCCGGGTTCAAATCATTTAATTTAAACCCTTATCAGTTCGTGCATGATCGTCTCAAAATTATTGCTTGTCGTGATGCAGTTGCTGTTTTATTTTCCATAGGAACAAGAAATCAACTTTTCCGGTGAAGTGGAGATCAGTGTAGTCGAGGTTCGTAAAAAAAGATGCATTTTGAGATTTTTTGTCGACTGACTGATTTCTACAACTTTAAAACTCGTTTACAGGATCACGTGTCCGGAAGGCTGAATGCGATTCGTGTGAGAATCTTACCACGGGGAAACATAACTCTCAGGTATAGTCATCATAGTGTATCAACCAATCATATACACCATAGTGTATCAACCAATCATATAGTCACCATAGTGTATCAACCAATCATATAGTCACCATAGTGTATCAACCAATCATATACACCATAGTGTATCAACCAATCATATAGTCACCATAGTGTATCAACCAATCATATAGTCACCATAGTGTATCAACCAATCATATAGTCACCATAGTGTATCAACCTATCATATAGACACCATAGTGTATCAACCAATCATATAGTCACCATAGTGTATCAACCAATCATATAGTCACCATAGTGTATCAACCAATCATATAGTCACCATAGTGTATCAACCAATCATATAGTCACCGTAGTGTATCAACCAACAATATAGTCACCATAGTTTATCAAACGTATAACCAGAGTATTGACAATCTTCGCTGTAGGCTTCACTATGATCATTTGACGGCTACTAAAATTTTTCAAAAATATAGGAAGTTGAATTTTTTTCGAGAAATTATTAGGCGTTTTCTGAATTTTTGCGTACTATAAAAGAATATAATTAAACATAAAATTTATTACCTTTTTAACTATAAGAGTGAACGAGAGTAAATGATTCTGAACAGTATTTGAAAACAATTTGGAACATAACATCAAATTTTTAGAATAAGGATGAAGTCAATATTTGAAATAGGATAACGGCTGTAATACTTTTTATCTAAATACATTAAATAAGAAATAAAGTTAAATTACAAACAAACAGTGGCGTAGCATGCTCAGTAATTTATTTTTCTTGGGGAGGAATTTTCATACATTCATAATTTTGGAGTCAGTGGAATATGTATGAATATGTACACACTGTCATCTCGTTAATTTACCTGACGTAAGAAACAAGAAGTTTTAATGGATGGAGTTTACTTTCTTACCAACTATGTTAGTGGTAGTAAAATGTTGCTGTTCTTGTACTTTCCTATTTTCGCTTATTATCCCATTATAATATTCACTATAAAATCATCCAAAATTATCGAATTAATTGAATTTTCTGATGATTTGATTGCAAGAGTGCTAGGAGCATTGTGTTTTGCTGTAGACTAGAGATCTACAAAAAAGAAGAAATGGGTTGAAGCAACGACACAAGATTTTACAAAACAAGAAAATTCATGTGATCGAAAACATATCCTCTCTTATAGTTTTTGTCAGCCCTCTCCTTGTTTTTCAACACTGGCAGGAACACCCACCGAAAGATTGATCTAGGTAGTCGGTACCAAACTTTTTCCACCTTTCTTAACGTCTATTTTCTTTCTCCCCTTTAAGGAAAAATTCTCAAACCTCAGAGATTGGATGTTGTGTGTTCATTAAAGTGTTGTAGCTGTACGTATTGTATGTGGGTCAAATCACACGTCATTTACACATCGGATTTTCGTAGCATATGAGAATATATCCATTTGAAGGTAACCAAACGTAACGCCTAGCGTTATCGAGCATTTTGCTAACATAAACATGTCTGGAGATACCCCCAACATGGACGACTTTGAAAGAATTTCCTCTTCTCACGATTCATACAAACTCTCCCTTAATGAGAACCTCATTATCAATAGCTACAAGTCTTCACTTATCCAGAGTATAGTAAAAATACAGTAGAGTAAGTCCATTGAATTTTTTGTCCTACGTATATCTCATTGCGCGTATGATTACTATATTGGAAGCTAGTAAATTGATTTTTTTTGAGTAATAGGAATGCTGAGCTGGCTAATGGCAGTCTGTTATCTAATTATATGTACAGAAGAAAGTTTCTCAGCAAAGTGGACCTTTGGTATGTTTCCTTTACTATGACTTAACATCTGCCCAAGGCAGTTCTATTCAACTCTTTTAATTTCACTATATTTTGCTTCCTAACTTCGTAATTTATATAATCTATTTGACACCGTCTCATTTTGTATTCTAACACCTTATGTAAATATGATTATTTCTCATAACATCCTATTAAGCATGCAATGCTACCCAACCTTCCGATTTGTTAAATACGGCCCTATAATGCAGCGGATGTTGAGTTTTATTTTATGTTTTTCTACGTGTTTCTGTGCACCTGTTCACTTCAGAATTGTTTTATTATTGATGAGGAATATTTACTCTAAACGTCCCTAATGAATATTTCGATGAGAAAATACGTCAGTAAACGTCCCTGGGATAACTAGAGGCCACCATGTTATTACATAGTTAAATGTTGTTAATGACTTAATGTTGACAATGACCATATACAGTCTCTCAGATCTATAACAATTCAAACCAGCGGTTCATAACAGGTAATTTACCAACAAATCTAAACAAATTTCGAAAAAACAAACAGCAAAAAATTTGAAAAGAAAAAGAAAACAGGAGAGAATGCCAACTTTTCCAAAACAGCGAGGACAAAAAAGTAAAGAAAGGCTTCGTTTCAGTTTAAATAATACTTTATAATAAACTTTTCTTAACTTGTTTATTCGCTCTTCGAGCCTGCGAGGTCTGCACATAAAGAATTAAATGATCCGATATTTCTCTTTAAAGAGTTCCCAATTAGTAAAGGCCTTATAATACAACTAAATTTAATTTGGTATTTCAAAATTTATGTGTTTCTACATGCTTTTCCTTCCACCTGTTCACATCAAAACGTAGGCTTAACAACAATTTACAGCTAATTAACATAGCTAAGTTACGAAGAAAATTGTGAAAATTGCCTAAATTGAAATGATCCTTGCTTGTTGTAGTAGACTTTGATAATATCCAACAGAGTGGCTGTCCAATGCATCAACTAGAAATTTGTTTTTTACCAAATTAAAATTAGTATTGAAGTGTTAAATTGTTGTTCTTAATTCTTTACCGCTGAACCCAATCACTTAAATCATTTTTCATTCATAAGTCATTATTCTTTGATGCATTATTTTTTTGCCATTTCTCATTGTATTTGTGCTGCTGTCGTCTTGTGAACAAAGAGTTGTAAGAAATAAAAAAAGCTGGTTTCATGTTGTAAATTTTACTGTATAGTTCGTTTTGACATAACTTGGTGTATTTGCGGTTACAATTTTTTACCAATGAATGTTAGCAAAAATTAAATTTGGTGTTAACAAAGTTAATATTTAAGAACTTAAAATACGCAATGGGAACAATATCATTTTTTGTCATTTAGCACTTGAAGTCATTAACCTGTTTTGCCGTGTTCACCCAGTTTAGATGCATTAATTTTGCTTCGGCGCTTTGTCTAATCAGAGGTAAAATATCAAAAACTTATCTTCTATAACATTGCTTCGTCAACCAATGTATGTATCTTAATTTTTCTTTGTTTCCAAATTTTCTAACACATTTAAAGTATTATTGTCGATTCGTAAAGGGTAGGATTTGAGGCAAAACAAAATTCAATAAAATGTTAAATAATTGTGGCAGTCGGCATAAGTGCATGTTTATATATTCTCAATACACGCTACTCCACACTTGAGGAAACAGCTTTGGCCAGCACTTACAAGTAAAACTTTGCGAAAACCACAACTCTATTGTTTACCATACTTGTACGAATATTCATTTTCTCTGTTTGTTTAAGACGAATTTCTGCAGTTGCCTTATTGTGTGCGTTTTTCAAACAAAGACGTAAAGACAATAAAAGAACAAAAGTTAAGATGTAATAAATTTCGTTGGCTACAGTTGATGGTAAAACGAATGTTTGTTTATCCTCGTTGTTTTGTTAGCATTTAATATAGAGCAATTTTTTCTTTGACCGAGTTTTGCAGTCTACATGATACCGGCCTTCCCTCGAAGTATTGTGGTTTCAAAGGCTAAAGACATCAACTATTAAACGTTTTCATAGATCAGAATTGAGTCAATTTTTTTCATAATTCTGTGGAAATTGTATGCAATCCAGGAATAGGCGTATTGTTTCATTGTTGATGAGGATATTTACTCTAAACGTCCCTATTGATTGTACTGACGAGGAATATTTAGTCTAAACGTCCCTAATGAATACTTTGATGAGGAATTATGTCAGTAAACGTCCCTGTGATAACAAGAGGCCACCATGTTATTACATAGTTAAATGTTGTTACTGACTTAATGTTGACAATGACCATATACAGTCTCTCAGATCTATAACAATTCAAACCAGCGGTTCATAACAGGTAATTTACCAACAAATCTAAACAAATTTCGAAAAAACAAACAGCAAAAAATTTGAAAAGAAAAAGAAAACAGGAGAGAATGCCAACTTTTCCAAAACAGCGAGGACAAAAAAGTAAAGAAAGGCTTCGTTTCAGTTTAAATAATACTTTATAATAAACTTTTCTTAACTTGTTTATTCGCTCTTCGAGCCTGCGAGGTCTGCACATAAAGAATTAAATGATCCGATATTTCTCTTTAAAGAGTTCCCAATTAGTAAAGGCCTTATAATACAACTAAATTTAATTTGGTATTTCAAAATTTATGTGTTTCTACATGCTTTTCCTTCCACCTGTTCACATCAAAACGTAGGCTTAACAACAACACTTTACAGCTAATTAACATAGCTAAGTTACGAAGAAAATTGTGAAAATTGCCTAAATTGAAATGATCCTTGCTTGTTGTAGTAGACTTTGATAATATCCAACAGAGTGGCTGTCCAATGCATCAACTAGAAGTTTGTTTTTTGCCAAATTAAAATTAATATTGAAATGTTAAATTGTTCTTAATTATTTACCGCTGAACCCAATCACTTAAACCATTTTTCATTCATAAGTCATTATTCTTGAAGCGATGTTTTTCTTGTCATTTCTCACTGTATTTTCGCTGCTGTCGTATTGTGTCTATTGTTTAAACAAACACCTGTAGGCCATAAAGTTACAGGTGGTATTACAATGTAAATTATACTGTATAGTTCGGTCCGACACTATTTGTTGTATTTAGGGCCTAAAATTTTGCTAATGACTGTCAGCAAAATTGAATTTACTGTTGGTAAAGTTGATAGTCAAAAACTTAAAATACGTTTTATATTGTAACAATATAATTTTTCGTCATTGAGCACTTGAAGTCATTAACCTGCTTTGCCGTGTTTGCCCACATTAGATGCATTATTTGTGCTTCGTTGCTTCGTAGCTATAAACAGAGGTAATTCTCTAAAATGTCAAAAACTCTATGTTCTATAACATTGCTTTGTCAACCAACAACAACATCCAAATTTCCAAACATTTAAAGTATTATTGTTGATTCGTAAATTCTTAATTCTTTACCGCTGAACCCAATCACTTAAACCATTTTTCATTCATAAGTCATTATTCTTGAAGCGATGTTTTTCTTGTCATTTCTCACTGTATTTTCGCTGCTGTCGTATTGTGTCTATTGTTTAAACAAACACCTGTAGGCAATAAAGTTACAGCTGGTATTACGATGTAAATTTTACTGTATAGTTCGGTCCGACACAATTTGTTGTATTTAGGGCCTAAAATTTTGCTAATGACTGTCAGCAAAATTGAATTTACTGTTGGTAAAGTTGATAGTCAAAACTTAAAATACGTTTTATATTGTAACAATATAATTTTTCGTCATTGAGCACTTGAAGTCATTAACCTGCTTTGCCGTGTTTGCCCACATTAGATGCATTATTTGTGGTTCGTTGCTTCATAGCTATAAACAGAGGTAATTCTCTAAAATGTCGAAAACTCTATGTTCTATAACATTGCTTTGTCAACCAACAACAACATCCAAATTTCCAAACATTTATAATATTATTGTTGATTTGTAAAGGATAGGATTTGACGGAAAACAAGTTCTATTAAATGTTGAATAACTGGGGCAGATGGCATAAGTGTTTGTATATACTCAATAAAGCACTGTACATTTGAGGAAGCCGACAGCCTTGGCCAGCAGTTGCAAGTAAAACGTTGCGAAAGCCACAACTCTGTTGTTCGTCTGACTTGTATGTATCTTAATTTTTCTCTGTTTGTTTAAGGTGTATATCTGCAGTCGCCTTATTGTGTCCGTTTTTCAATTAATAAAAAAACAAAGGTAAGATGTGATGTAGTTGATAGTAAAACGGAAGTTTCCTTATCTTATTTATATTATTTAATACTGCAAATTTTTTCTTCGACTGAGTTTGGCAAATAAGTGTTAATACAAACACCACACAACTTACGCCCCCCAAATGATTTGATTCTTATAGTAAATGGAGAGATTTTTTCATTTACCACAATACCTCCACGCTAGATGTAGGATTTGGGACAGGTTATCACATTAATGTTTTGATTCATATATTTATATACTATCATATTTTTTGCTCAAATCTCTCAACTACCTCAAAAGCAAATCCTATTCCACTGTTTTGTAAAAAATTTTGTTCTTTAGCGGAACCTGCGAAAAATTAAAAAGAAATCCCCTTAAGATTTTCAATTCTTATGGAGTATTCATTGTCATCAAGTACTCCACAAATAACTGCAAGCAAAGGAATAAGCTTGAAAAAATGTAAAAGTTGCACAATATTTCTACGATTTTCTGTGATATTTCTGTAAATTTTATAAAAGAATTTGAGCAATCTCAAGATAACTCTGAAACCCAAAACTACTTAGCTGCCCTTAATATCGACGTTCGTTTATTTCGTAAGCTCTTCCCTCCTCAATAGAAAAAAGCTCCGCGGTGCATGTAATGTAAATATCTAACACCCTTTCAACATTATTTTTTGGTCATTATCTTTTGAAATTTTAATTTATTTAGTTAATTTTTCAACTGTAACTTTTGAATTTGTCAACTGAGCAATTTAGCTGTTTTATACCTGCTAATGTGTTGAATTCGATGAATTAAAACTTCGAATGAAAATGCATAACGGGTATAGCATTAGAGACAATACGGGTATAACTATACAGCTATAGAGGCTGCGTTACAAGAAATTGTAAAGTACTTTATGATTTCATAGGTTTTTTACATGTATCATGACATAACAGGAAATTGAAATGAAATAGCTAATGGGAAGCTCTGCATGCACAATTGTTATTTTCATATTCAGAGAAAGAATTTTAACATCGTCTTGGGTTTTTAATCTATTGTATCTAAAATAAATAATTTGCTTTGATTTTAATTTGATCTCGCTTTCTTCACTTCCTTAGCGCTATCCACTAAAAAGCATTTTTTCATCGTTCAATAAATCTCTTGAAACACAAGAAGTTGAAATTTATATTGAACCGAGTAAGAAGAATAAAGCATAAATTTAAAGTTAACCAAGTTTCATTATTTTAAGAAAATTATAACCACGTACCTATATAATAGCTACAGTGGCTACCAATAAGAGAGCCATCATGCAGCCATATGAGACTAACTCGATCTATTTCTGAACAGTTTTTCTCGCTACACAATTTTGCTGAAATGACTTTTTAGATAATGCTCATATATTGCTCAAAAATACGTTTTGATCGTGATCTGCTTGCATCACAGATGTAATTGTGACGTAGTCATTGTCGATCTAAATATAAATTTAAAGTCTTCTGTGATAACGTACATACATCCAACAATCAATTATAATTTAGAGCTTTACTGTATATCCTTGGATCTATGCAATGATGAGTTTAATGATATGGTGGTTATTGTGGCTGTTATTTGGTCAAGGATTCACAATGAAAATGGGTTGGAATGAAGAACTTGAGTTTTGTGAGGAAGAATGGAAGAAATTTGTGGCGGACAAAATTGAAATCGATTCGAAATGCAACAATACTCGTACACGTTGTTGTGTTGAGGAGAAGAAATATCTTTGGAGCGATTTAAAATGTTTAGTGAAATATGTCCACTGAAGGTAAAGTAAACAACAGTTCAGTTTACAGTAAGTACAGAACATCAACTGGCCATGTACTTGCAAACAATCACAACACTTATATTACTGAGGTACTGTTTAATTTAAATATGTAATTAAAACCGTGTTCTTAGAAATTGCATTATAGTAAGGTACCTAAATTAAAAGGTTTGAACCCGTAAGGTAGATGTTAAAGTACTCAACTGATTTGGATACACTAGCTTCACAGCATTGACGCAGAATAGTATCTCGTTCATTGTTCCTCTGTCTAGTTACAAAAGCAAAGTAATATGACAGTAGAGTCAAAAATAGTAATTTATGCAGTTATATTATATAGTCTGTATAGTTATTGTCTATTTGGGTTTAAGGAGGACTTTCGATTCAATGTGAATAGTAGGTAACATTTTGTGGCCAAATGAGTGTCACTTTCTACTTGTTTTTTTTCTCTGGACAACTAGTTAAAGATAACTTTTTTTTTAGGGACATGTGGATGCAGCCCGATTATTTGGAACTTTACTGTTTTGTCAACGTCCGTCACTTTTACAAAAAGCATTAACGAAAATGGAAAGAACCAGAAAACTTCACGTGTTCACATAAGTACATAATTGAAACAATAGAAAAGTATTATCTTAAACCTTATATAGTTTGGAAACAACACAAAATCCCTTACAAGTATGTTTTATACGGTGGAAAAAATCACACTTGTTATGTTGTCATCAACATGAACAAAAAAGGTACATGCAAGGGTAGTTCATTTTAGTTTCTCCTGTGTCAGTTTAATTTATAGTACACCAATGTGATTATTGTGCTTCATATTCAACTTCGCTCAAATCCATACGACACTTTGACCTATATTTAATTCATCATGTACGTATACTCTTAGTGAATTTCTTTGCAGTTGCAAAGCTAATAGAATACACCCGGAACAGCCAACATGTTTAATTCGTCATACATATATTATAATGTAAACCTGTAAAGAGTAAAGCTCAATTCAAGAGCGTGTCTTGGTTATTTTCGGGTTTATTGATTTTATTCATTAACGATCACGTTGGAAGATTTTGGTTGTTTGTTAATGGGTGTGAGGGTTAGGGTTAAGATGTTCATATATTGATCTGTGCTAGTTAAGCTTTATTATTATAATACAACGGTGATGCAATCTCGATTGTGATTGTCTAAAGCCTTCAAATAATTGTCAATACACTATCACCTAGAAAACATTGAAAATTACCTGTAGGTGACGAATTTTCTTTATGAGACAACTGTATATACAAGAAATATTTTGGTAGAATTCACTTTCAAGTTTTTACTCTGCTCAAATTATCGGGAATATAGACGAAAAACACCGAAAGTGTTAAACTGTTTGTCCAGAGAGTTTTCATCGCGTATTTACAGGAAATAGACGAAAGCGAACCGCAAAATTTTTCAATCAGACTGCAGTCAGCGCTATCCTCAGATTGCTTCGGTAGATATCCAATTGACCTCGGTCTGAATATTTTTATATCATGCTCAACTTAATCCAAAATTGTTAAATTTTTTTAACGGGAGAATGTTCTTATATCACTTCAGTAGAAATAAATTTCGTTGTATATTAACCCTCTGTATAATATCCCTGTACATATTTGTATGCATCTCTCTCTGCATGTATAAACCTTTATAAACCCGTAAAAAGCCTCATCGATTTTGTATAAGCCCTGGCATGATATTTATTGTAAATCGAATCTTAAACGAAGGTGTCGTGAATGTTATTACCAAGTATAGAAACTTCACCATTTGCAACAAATGTCTCCACAAAATAAAGACGATTATCTGTAAACAACTTGGTTATCCTATTGAAGCATCTGTTCCTTGCTCAATGTCACTATCATCTTTGATGCATCAATCGTTTATACCTGGAAATGTCAAATGTGATGCTCGAGTGAACGATTTATCTCAATGTGCATCAAAAAAAATAATGATTGCTCTCAATACTCGTACGTTACATGTAAGCATTCTCATTCAATTTTTGAATGTATTAACGTATTGTAGGACACATTTGTATGACGTTAGAAAAAGATTAGCGAAGAATTTAAGGAATGAATGTGTTACTTTTGTGTTCTCAACTTACATCTGTCTATTGTTAAGCATCATGACTTACCTCTATCATCAAGACTTACATCTGACATCGTAGTGTCACTGTATTTTACGCTGACTTGGAGAATTTCACAATTCTTCTTTACATAACAAAAGAAATATAGCATCACAAAATATAAACGATTGCTACTCTTAAATAATAAATAATTAAAACAGGATTGCTGCGAATACTGAGGATTAAATTAATTTTACTCTTGCTACTTCATTTCGTGCTTCAAAAAATGTCCAATTGTCATTCCTCTGCAATACGATTGACGTTCACTCTTTAATGGAATTTAAATCGCTTTTTTGAGTGTTTTTGACAAGATATTGGTTTTGTCATAGCTGGCTTGATTCCAACTGGAATTTATTATTTAATAAAAGCATGCAAAATCAGTCGTATTCCTCCAATATATCTTGTGCTCTTTTCTCTCTTAAGAAAACAGTTTTTAATTTTCCAATTTTACGTGAATGGAGAACAATATGAGAGTGCACCATTGCTCTCTATCAAATCAAACCAGTTCTAATGTTATAATGCATTTCAACCAAATCCTTTTCTATTTAAGGTCATGTTTGTGATAATCCTCTATTAAAAAACGCAGAAAAATTCCCAGATTCTTGGTTTACTGCCTTCCCAAAGAGTCGTAGTGCTGCTAAAGCAAGAATATCCAGTGGTAGTTCATGGTGTGCTCCTGCTGCTAATGGCAATCATTACCTTCAACTGAATTTTCCGAGTCTTTATACAGTTAACGTTATCACTATCTTTGGAGACAGTTCAAGTTCAAGCTTTGTAACTAAATATCACTTGCAGACAAACATTGATGGTGTGAACTGGAAATCTGAAAAATCCCAGAAGGTAACAGTAGACTTATCGAATTTGTATATTATAAATTTAAAGGAAATTTAAAAAGGAATGAAGTTATAAACTAAGTAAACTTTTAAATTGCTATTTATATACAAACTTGTGTGCAGATGTTGATTCAGTGGTGTAGCCGGCACGCAAAATTGCTGGTTCTATGTAAATTTCAGATCATTATCATTATTCATTTCTTTAGAGATCTATTGTTTTTCCAGTTAGTGAGCTCTGAGAAATTACATATAGCACGACCAAATTTGTGGGCTAGCTACGTCACTGTGTTGATTGTCTTGGTTACTCCTGCACTACGAAGGACTCTTGCATTTGATTATAAAGTGTAAATTGTAGCTATGTGCATGATTTGAAGAGATACATAGACAATGCATTAACTACTCTCCTCTGGACTGCGTTAAACAAACCTTGCTCTGCAAATACACGAAAATCAATTTTTTTGTTTTATTCCAGATTTATCTAGGAAACAAAAATGGTTACAATGATGCGGCTATAGAAAAGTTTTCTGGTGGCCTTAAATCCAAAGCTTTGCGAATCTTTCCATTGAAATTTGTTGGTGCACCGTGTTTACGAATTGAAATTTGTGGTGGAGGTAAGAGGTAGAAAAAATATACAAGGTTTACTTTGCACTGTAAGCACTTTTTCAATATATAAAGTTTTTTTCTCTGAGTATTAATTAAACATGAGTTAGTTGACAAAACAGAACAATTTTCCATGAAGGCTGAAGTGTTAGTTTCTTTCTCTGTTGAAATAAACTTATTGAAACAAGCCTTTTCAACATGCAGTTAAGTTTAACACGTGTTATTGGAGAAAAGCAGAACACTTATTTCACTTAGGGGCTACAAATGGTTCAATTTGTAGATTTTTCTTTTATCGTGCAGACTTACTCCCAGACAAACCAACAGATCTCATTGCAACCAAATCTGCATCGACGTACCTCGAGATATCATGGAAACATCCCAAAAAAACTGGTGTAAAACTTGGTACAAATATCTCGAATCCTCTTACAAGATATCTATTGATTTTGCTGAAGGATACTATGATTGTTTTGATAAAACTCTGGAGGTAACTGACAAAAACCGTACAACATTACGAATCTTGTTCCTTACGCAACGTATAAAGTTAATGTAACCGCTGGCAATTCTGAAGGCTTTGGTAGATCAACTACAGCTACTTTTAGAACTGCTGAAGATGGTGAGTTCATATCAGTTTTGTGTATACATATCGGCTGTTGTTGCATTGATGGTGTTATTGCCATAGACGACTTTTGAAAGCTCAAATCTTTTCTGGTCGATATTTATTTCAATCATGTTTTTTTTATACTGTATTATATTTAAGTTAACAATGACAGTGTACACTTGTTAGGACTTCTTTCTAAAGTGTATTTAATATTTTATATAAATCTTTAAAACAAATGTTTTTATTTTTGTTTAGTTCCCGAAGGTCCACCTTTAAATGTTCAAATTGTCGCCTTAAGCAGTTCATCGTTATCAGTTACGTGGGAGCCACCAGACAAGAACAAAACAAATGGAAAGATAGTCAGTTACACTGTTTGTATTACACATTTGGAGAATGAAACCTGTTCAATGAAGTATATGATCGAGGAACAGCGTTTGGACATAAATAATGTGAAACCAGGGACAAAATATTATGTTCGTGTTTTAGCTTCTACAATAGTGGGATCTGGATGTTACAGCAATGTTACATGGGTATTTACAAATGGATGTAAGTTGTCTATGGTTTATGCACAGGTTTGTTTAAGATGATAAATTTATTCAAGTTTATTTATTTAGTGGCACCTGAACTGTCCACCAAGCAGATTGGAAATACGTTGACTTATTTGTTGCAAAATCCAATTGTGGAATATCGGTAACTATGTATTTTACTAGAGCAAATTATTGTAAAAAACTTAAAGGAACTTAAAAGTATTTTTGAGTTT